GGCTTATCACGTGATAAATTCGAATTTATCACGTGATAAGCCGCAGCAAGCTGTGATAAGCCGGCTTATCTTTGAACGCTAATTATAATACGACAGGGTGAAACCTGCGATAAAAACCTGCGAAAGTGGTTACGTTATTGATGCAGATCACTACCCATAATAGGGGACGTCTAAAGCGGAGATAATTATATAATTGTATTTTATTTATTAAATTAACTTTAGAGGCAGGTTTATCTTAGATTAGGGTTAGGTTAGGTTTTAGATAGTATATATATGCAAAATTGCCTTCCCGACATTTTTGCTTCACTACCCAAGGTAGGTTTAGACTGCCGTTTTTTATATTTTAAGGTTTTTTGGTTTTCTTTCTTGTATTGCTTCGCCGGCGATCATCAAAATTCTATAATTTGATTGGCTGATAGTCACATGATTTATCTCCGCTTTAGACGACCCCCCATAATAGCAACTACCCTATCACTAACCCTAACTAAGAAAGATCTGCATCAACAACGTACGTAACTATCTCTATCTCAGATTTCACCCTATCCTATTATAATTTTCAAAAATAAGCATTTTCATAATAAGAACCTATATTAAAGCCTTTTAATTCCTTGGCACAAAATTATAACAAGGAAGTCGGAACTTTAGAAATATTTAGAAATTTAAAAGGGTTTTATATATGCTTTTATTACGAAAAATGCTCATTTTTAAATATAATAATCTGAACAAAATCAGAATATGTTTTTAATTTTTTTCTATAGGGAAACTGTATGTCACTGGAATGAGTAAATTTTTTACCAGAATATTCACAATAGAGATCGCGATAATTTTACAGCCGTTTTCAAAAATGGGTGAACAACGAATTCCATATACCTATGTGGGAAATCGAAGAAATTGAAAATTTATATTAGTAAAAATCAAACTTCGGATCTTGAAACTCCGGAAATCTGGACATGTTGGTCTGTGACCGTTCACACCTTTTTGAAAACAGCTATAATGCAAACAAACTTAACCTTACGACAATTCCAATGTAAACTAACTCAACCTTAAATATGTACAGTGTCCACCAGAGTAGAAGATATGTTATATACAATAACTCATGATAGAAATTATGATGAAACTAATGAAAGCTTAATTAAGTACTATATAACAGATTTTTTACAATGACTCACAATAGAAATCTTTATAACTTAATTCTGGATTTGTGAGTTTAACAGTTTTAATTGGTCAAAGTATTTAAGATAAGTAATTAACCTTATTTTTATTAATTCTAACTTAGTCGAGTATAAACCTGATGATTGTTTATTAACCAAAGTTAATAATTTATTCAATTTTTTAATACCACGATTTAATTTCAGGTATTATTTTACAAAAAAAAAGTTAAGAAATAAATTATTGCTATTAAGATAACAACCTAATATCTCCGTTAGCGGTGACACTACTTTCCGGATTACCATCTTTATAAAAGTTAAAGAATTATTTAACTCATGTCTAACGAAAATTACAGATTCCTAAACAAGCTCTTAAAATTTTTATGAATTTTTACAGAACCCGTGGCTCCGCTACGGATCGGACGCTAGTTGATTTTTAAGTGGGCAAGATTACGAGTGATAAATTTAACACGCCAAAAGATTTTTGTTACCGAAATTCTAAATTGCTACTGAATTTTAAGATTCGAAGGTATATTACCAAGGGTTGAAAGATTCCTGAATTATGAATAGAATAGCGATTAGAGTATAATATCCCCAACATTCTTGTACAAGGAGTATTAATCCCTAAAATAAAAATTTACAATTAATGAAAGTTTCGTTTAATCATAAAATTATTATTCACTGAACCCACACATAATACTTATCTTGAGCTCCTTTATTTTTGTTAGCAAATAGTTATACATTTGTTGTAAAAATGTGGTACCATTTGTTTTGTAATACAAATGTATAGGTTTTACTTTGATCAATGAATTAAATAGAGATGACTATTTGGCGTAGTCAAATGTTGGAAATAAATTTTGAATGCTATACACAATATCAAGTAAATAAAGGAATGCAGCTGGTTCCTGAAAAAATTAGAGTCAGAGTTAATAAAGACAACGCGGAAGAAGTTATATAATATATGATTCTGCAATTAAACGTCTTTAATACAAAAACTCTTCGAACAAATCTAAATGTTGACAATTGGACATTTTTAGACATAAGTTCAATTTGGACAAAATAATTGGACATATTGACGGACTCATTGCAGTGCTTTCATACATGAGGGTTATCAAGTTCTTTAATTAATGAGTCTAAATGTGTTGGGAATTAAATTTTAATTAGTGAAAAATATCCTAACAAATACCAATTTTTTTGTATATACGTATTATATTTCGTTTATTAATTCCTGCCATTTGGAGTCAACATGCGCTAGGATGTGCAACTCTACCCAGTTATAGCATCACATAACACTGAACAGATATATTCATTTAATCATCAAGTGGATGCTTATTTAGAGTTTTGGTTAGTACATAAATATTTACAGTTTTGTTTGTCCTATCGGTATCTTTATTCCTGGTTTTAATGCAAAAATGTTGTACAACTATTATATGATTTGAATTTTACTTGCACTTGTGATCGTACTGGTTCTGTGCGGCTGCACATGATGCTCAGCTATCTTATTAATAAAAGAGTATCTGAAGATTTTAATAGATTTCAATAGGGTATCAGCTGCAATAATTAGAATAAATATACATTAATTTTAAAAACGGCATACGGAGTATATGCATAATGCAATTGTAATATGTTCCTAGTCTATGCCGCTAATAAAATATTATGTGAAATGGGTTATTGGAAACTAAAGGTGAGAGCAAAGTTGGTTATATTAACAATATATATTAATAATGTATAAGTTATTAAATTATTTGGACATTAATTTAATATGAATGTGTTGTAAATGAATAGGTATGATCTTATTTCTTCTATTTCTTTAATTGAAATTGAATCAATGGTTATTTTAGGATATGGTTCAATTTTTAATCTGTCAGAATCTTCTTTCCATGCTTTTGTAATAGAATAATCATCATAAAAATAGATATACTTTGCCCTAAATCTATCCTTAAATTTTGAATCAATACCATCAATATAAGTTGGTAAATTTTTATGAATTGCATATTCACGAATCATTTCGCTTTGAAATCTATATATAGCACGTTTGCTATTTGCAAATACATCTGAAAAGGCCTCACTTTTAAGAAAAAATCGATTAGTAAGAAAAATAATATGATTGCATGATAATTTAAAACGTACCTCATAAATGAAATGATAACATTTTGCAAAATCATCACAAAAAAAATCCACCAATTAAACTAATTCTAATTACTGTAAGTGGCCAAAAATTCAAAGCATCTAACGAAATTGAATACCAGTTATATACTGAAAATTTAGAATCAAAAAAAATTGAAAATGGATTGTCCGGGGTTTTCAGTCATCGTATAAACTACGTTATTTCCATTTTTAATTTCATAGGTTTCTAGAGATTGAATTAACCCAATATATGATGAAAAACCAAGTAGAATAAGCCTAAATTATAATAGATAACAAGTTTAATGTGTATGTAATTCCTAATATATGATGAAAAACCAAGTAGAATAAACCTAAATTATAATAGATAATAAGTTTAATGTGTATGTAATTTAAGGGTTTCACGTTAAAATCTTGACAATGAGAATCCTGACGATAAAAATCGGCTAACATTAAGCATCTAATGTTAGCTAACTTTGTTGGGATTCTTATTTTAGGGATTTTTAACGGATCCCAATTTAAATACAAGTATTTATATTAAAAACTTACAATCCATGCGCCTGAAAAGATAGTATTAATAATTAAAGATTGTGCCATTATAAGTTATTGCCCAAGCACCACCGAGTGGACTAATTTTTAATACCCTGCCTACAGTCAAGCCTCTCTATAGTCACCTCTCATATAAGCACATTTATTTTTTAAAACAAACTACTAGTAAATAAATAAATTTAACCTCTATAATTGTCACATTTCCCTACAATCACATTTTCCTGTGTCCCAAGTGTGATTAAAGAGGTTTGACTGTACAATTTTGATATTATTTGAGAAAAAAAAGGCAAAGAAGGTTCAAATGACCACAATGTATAAGTATCAATTAGGTCTATTACCAACTCTAGTAATTTTACTGATCCGAATGTGTCACTCAATGATTATTTAATTAAAGGGATGCAGTCCATTTAAAAAAACAATAATTGATAAAGCTTGACTGCTATTCACATTTGCAAACCCAACAACAATAGAATAATAGTATGTCAAAATATAAGTAAGAATGAATAACGGTAAAAAATATGCTAAAAGATCTATGAAATTAAAAATGGCAGCTTCTATTGAGGGATTTTCATCATAAATATTTTGTTCATTGCTTTCTATAAATTGAATAAAAGGACTATCATTGCCAATATTATAGGATGAATATAGATAAATTCGATCAATAAGAAACAATGACTTCAAAAAATTCGTGAATATTCCTTTCGATTTTGGCAATGATTTTCTACTCGTCATAAAATCGACTAAAGGAATCATTCGAACGTTGGAAATTTTATGATAACCAGTAAATTTAAAAATAAACTAAATTAATATAGAAAATTAACAAATTAGCTGTATGTTAAACTTAGGTTCATATTCAATTTCTTGTAGATTCACTTTAAAATCTTGTGGAATAAACTGTGTTATAGGTATTGTAATTTTCAGTAAACCATTCGTATTCGGAGAAATTTCAAAAAATTCAAAATAATCTAAATCTAATTGTTTGATACAAAAACAAGGATGATGAAATAATTTTTGAGCATATGGTGCGTAATCTCTAATACGATATAAATCTGGTATAATTTCAACTACAGTATTCATCCATCCAATGTTATTAATCGTATTGTTAGAATAATATTCTAAAAAGTATGCCAAAATAGTTGGATCTTTGGTTAGATAGAAAATGTTTATTAAATTAGTATCTTGCGCATATAGTACATTTGCAAGTAGTCAATGAAATTTAATGCCGAACCGGAAAAAGCTTTATGGATTGTATTTTCTGTATTTTCTCTGATTTGTTTTTAAATCATAAAGTTCCATATATTGGACGCTTTCATACTTGGTATCTACTAAAAAATAATACTTATACAAACATTTTTGAATATATCCTATGCACATTTCACTGATTCTCATATATCAATTGGTATTATAGATAGTAGCATTACGTATTCTTTTCGGATATTTTAACTTTTGAACTTTTAATAGTTGAACATTGTTAGTATGTTCATTTTTTAAATACTTCTAGGTATGTTTATAGATCCCTGAAGCTTTTAAGAGTATAAAAAGAATTCATCGTTTTCTTTTTTTTTTTTTGGTTGTCTTTGGAAAATAATTTGACAATTTCACCATGTTTAATTGTTAGCTCTTTATTTTTGACCGAATTATCTTTGCTAATAGAAAAAATGAAAGTAAATCCTTGGCCTTTATAACTATCTATTTGGTGTTCTTTTTTAGGTATCATGTCTTCATGACTAATACAAGATATTGCCATTAACCTAAATTTCGTAGTTGATTTATTCGACATTGTAACAGACCAATTTAACATATTTACGGAATTAATAAACATCATTTGTTCCTCAGTAAAATTGAATTTGGAATTTGTAAGGTGGGAAAGAGTTCTGTAAGATAGGCTCCCATCGTCCTCTATTTTTAGGCTATATCTACCTGATTTCTTTATATTATACATGCATTGTTCGAAATTATTCGATTCTAAATAGCTATATTGGTGAAAATATTTATTTTATTATACAAATCATTAATTAAGTAGAAATTTTACCAAATTCAACAAGACGTTACTTAGACTGATGGCTAAATATCTTTCTGCTTCTTTTTTTCACCATTTAGGACAGTTGACATAATAGTATCAGTTTCTTTTTATCTAACTATTCAAAATATATTTTTATGTCAACAGCGTTCCGAGGCAATACGCTGAGGGTTCTATAAAAAAAGAAATATATATATATAAGTATATGAATTGCTGCTGTGTTTAAATGTCTAAATTTATTAAAAGCATGGGGCAATTTGCGTTTATTATTATTCAAAACACAAGTTTTTTTGCTTGTATATATTGTCACAATTTTAAATATTTATAGTGGCTATCTCAAACGAATGCAGATATTCGGGATGTGGCACGTAAAAGCGAAGAATCACCAAACAAGTTTTTAAAAAATGTAATATCTCCATCAGTGTTTCGGCTGAAACTTCCGAAACATAGTTTTGCCAGAAGTTCCAAATTTGAAACTTCTGAAACTTCTGTTACTGGGCGAAACCTCCGAAACTGAGCAGGGATATTTATCGATTTTTAACGGCTGCCCTACCTCATGAGGTGCGTCAAGTGTAACCCGGACTTACATGAGGAGAGCATCTTCCTGCGTTGCGAATACAAAGTAAATTTCCAACTATATTATAATTGGAAATTTTACTTTGTATTCGCAACGCATGAAGATGCTCTCCTCATGCAAATCCGGGTTACACTTGACGCACCTCATGAGGTAGGGCAGCCGTTAAAAATCGATAAATATCCCTGCTCCGAAACTGGGTGAAATCTCCGAAACTAGCGAAACTTCCGAAATGGTCAAAACTTCTAAACTTCCAAAAAAAATAGCCAATAAATTATGAAAATTCTTCAGATTATATGAAAAAGGCATGTATCAGAAGCTAGATGAACCTTCGGAAACAAGACGAAAGTTTTAAAGTTGGCTCGAATTTGAGTGAAAGTTCTGTAAGTTGGCCGAAATTGGCCGAAACTTTCGCAATTGGTGAACTTTCTGAAATATTTCGAGTAAAAAATCAATGAAGACAAATACGAGCAAGGTGGAGAGTAAGAATAGCAAAAAGGTCTGAAATATTCTGAAAAAAATAGAGTTGGAAGGTTTTGAAAGTTGGATTCAGAGGGTTTCACCCAGTTTAGGAAGGTTTCGCCCAGTTTCGGAGGTTTCGCCAATTTAGGCTGTTTTGGATTTTGGGCGAAACCAAAACTTAGGCTCGAAATGTTTCGGACGAAACACAGTTCTCTATACAAAGTGACTTTTAGATTCCTTGCAATTGGCATTCAAATTTGTACAAAAAAACATCGTAATTTAAATTGATTAAACCGCGATATCTCGTGATCTAATGATCTGATTGAATAATTCTGGTTCCATTCGAATCCTTTCGCTGAGATGATTTTTGAATAGTGCAAAAAAATCATTTAAATCAAACCCCATAAATCACAAGATATCACGATCCAATCAAAGTCACTTTCATGAATTTGGGTGTCAAAATAGATTGGCAATAAATATTCATAGGCTTATTTTAATTGTTGTTTTTGATACAACTTAACAAATTTATATTATATATGCTTTTTTTAATAATTTAAAATAAAAATTTGAATAAAGATACTCAACAACTACTTAATTAAACTAATAAAAATTTTTATTAGTTTAGACTTGTTGTTAAATAACGGGCTATAATATGTATCACAAAAAGAAAACTCCATTACTTAGAAATTGTATATGGCAAATATAAATTTAAAATCTGTTGGCAATAGTCGTGGTCCTAATTATTCTAATATATTGATATGTATGCAATATTGTGGATATTGCATAATCCCAATTATTTTAATATATAGAGATTCTCTAAAATTAAATTATTTAATTCAAATAAAAAAAAAATTGTTTTCGCGGTTTTTGAAATGAGTAAAAAAAAATTTACACTAACCCATAACCCAGGCATTTTTGATATGCTAATTTCTAATCCTAATGCTTTATATTAATTATCAAAGATCTGCATAGATATAGTGTCATTGTAATACATTTACAAATAACATTGTTAGAAAAATCCCAAGCTGAATATTATTATTAGAATAGAATAGAAATTGAAAGGGATAGATATAAAACACTCAGTTATTATCAAAAAATCTGCTATGATAGGTAAACTGTTAATATTGCAAGCTAGATATTATTATTGAATGGAATTGGTATATGAATATAGGACCAAAAATCTATAAAATAGGTGACACTTAATAGAATACTCTAGATTAGATATTATTGTTGAAATAAATTGACATTTTTTGGGAGACTCCAGATTCTTAATTTTAAATAGACAAATACAGTAGTAGTAATGTGATCTGTTAATCGACAACCCGGATACTGTAACTGTTTGAAATCCGTATTTTTGTGTAATCCGGATTAGGGATGGGTTCGGTCGGTCACGGTCAGTCATCGGTCAGTCATTATCGGTTAATATTAACCGCTCATAGCCGGTTGACATACGATTAAATGACCGGTCATAGCTGACAAATTATTTAATCAATTATTCAATCAAATATCTAAATAAGTGACAAGTAGGGAT